TGTTTTCTGTCTCTGACCTGATTATGTGGTTGAGTTCAACCCTCTTACCTACCCCCTGCTCACCGCCCTCTGTTCTCGGGCTTGCCTTGGGGTGGAAAAAGTCTTTCTCTGAAGGACAGCCAGCTGGCTCTCTAAAGGAGGTTGCGCTCCAACCAGGAGGGCGGTGCCGTGGGATGGCGGGAACTCGCCCCGCAGCCCAGCACACCCTGCGCGGAGACGTGCTATCTTGGCTCCATCTGCTCCATTCTCCAGCCCTGCTCAGACGTGTCGAATTGTTGAAGGAGGCATCCCTGGCTGTGCTTGAAGTCATTCTCTTCTTCCCATTGAAGCCAGGCCCCACGACATACACACACACGCACACACACACACTCTCACCCACCTGCAGCCTGTCCTGCCCCCCCGGGAGGCGGGCAGATTCTCCTGCTCCCCTGAAGGTTAGCTCTGTATGCACACGGATGCCTCCCATCGCTGGTTTTGGGGCTTCCACTGGCGAGTGTGGCTCCCTCAGTTTCAGGCAGCAGAGAAGGGAGGAGGCAAGGAGCCCAAGGGCTGCGTGCGGTCTGACTGCTTATGTCACCCCCTCCACCAGCCAGGGCCTCTTCCACCATGGAAAGGTCCCTTCACCAGGGACAGCCCCACATGCAGAAGCAGTGCAAGGTGCCCGGGCAGGGGCTTCTGCAGGCTTCCATGCTTGTTGGCGGCTGACATCTCTGGGGGCTCGTGAGCCACAGCAGGAGCCAAAGAAACATGTGAGACAAATTTGGGGGTGGGAGAAAGTATCTGACGTCAAGAGAATTTTATTTATTAACTCTTTGACATTTATTAACTTTTGAAATCAGTTCTTGCGAAGGTGGCCTTCACTCAGTATCAGCACAGGGACACTGGCCCCGGCTCTCGGGAGCCAGCAGCCCTAAGGAAACGTCTGTCTCGGTGAATTCTCACAGCAACAGCCGGGAAGACGCTTGCTGCAGTGCCCTCTGTGCTGACGAGCCGGGGCGCCTGGGTACCAGCCCCGTCCTCTGGCTTCAGCCCGATGCTTCAGCCAAAGAGGCTAAGAGGACCCTAAGATGGCGGGTGGGGTTTTGGGGGGCCCAGAAGAATGGGTTTAAACACAATCATATATCCACAGGGGGTCCCTGGAAATGGAAAAATGGCGTTTGTTCAGAAGAGAGAGAATTTCTACTTTCTTTTGGGGTACAGTGAAAATAGCTTGTTTGTTCCAAAAGCACCTCTGTCAATTACTGCTCAGGATCCTTTGTGTTAACACACACACACACACACACACACACACACAACTGTTTTGCTGCCAGGCTGTTCCGAGCCCGGCGGTGGTCCTCCCACCCTGTCACCCGGGTCACTGTTACCCTCTCTGTGTGAAATGGGCTCGCTTCCCGGGCACCGCTGACAGCCCACCCGGCTGGGGTGTGTTTTCGCGTGTACTTCTGAGGAAGACAATGCCAGCACTTGGGCAGCTGTGGGAGCGGCCCCTGCAGGGCTGGCAGAGCAGGGCGCTCCACGGAGCTGGGAGCTCTCCTCCCTTGGACCCGTGTCCCTCCCACCCTCCCCCGCCATCAGGGGACAAAGACCAGAAGGAGGTCTTTGTGGGTTCTGGGCGATGAGCCTCGGCCAGGCCCCGCGTTACTTCGTCCTCCTTAACCACAGCATCAGAGCGCCCAGGTCCGGGATGGGGTGCGCACTCTTGAGTACTTTCCAGAGCTTGGGCATCTGCTGAGTGTCAGTCACTGCTCGCCAGACCTGTCTAGGATGAGGCTCCGGAAGAAGTCGTGGATCAAGGTGGTTTCCTCGTCCAGGAAAAACTTGGTCATTGAGGTGGCAGCCCGCACACCCTGCCTACAGGTGCACGTTGGGACCGGGAACGAGTCTACACAGGCTGTGTGCTTCAGCAGTTTCTTTAAACCCTGTGGGTGGAGAAGACGACAGGGCAGCGCTGCTGCATTCTAGCCTCCCGCACGCGCCCACACACATTCATGCCCACCATGCAGTCACGTGCACACACGTGTGCACACGCACTCACACACACGCACCTGAAATGAGGAGAGACTTGTTAAACATGCAGCTCCTCACTGCGACTCTGGCGGACGGAGCAGAAGCCCCACGTCACTTCGGCCGTGTCCTAGGCTGCCTGCTGTTTGGAAGAGCTTTCTCTGTAGGTGACTTCAGCTCTGGCCTGTGCCAGGGGGAGACCGTGCGTCATGGGGAGCGGAAGCCCTCAGCTCCTCAGTGGTCTGTGGAGCAAGCCAGGCGGCAGGCGGGTGGCAAAGCCACGTGCAGTTCCCCGTCCGGTGCCATGGCCTTGGAGCCCTGAGGACACGTGCTTGCCTGTGAGGGCAAACCCCCTTCCAACTTCCCTGGAGCTGGCTTTTCCAACCCAGCCTCTTGTCCGCTCTGGAAGCCGGTCCCCGGGCCCTGGTGGGAGGCAGCACCCACTGAACTGCGCTTCCTGACCCTCTAGATGGGCCTCGGCCCGAAAGAGGCCATCCAGAAAGACGCCTCTGTCCCCCACTCACCTCCCCAGTGACACACAGGGGGCCCCAGGTATGAAGGGGTCTGGCCTAACCATGGACTCAGCAGGCTCCCTGCCCCAGGATGCAGGACCACCCGGAGGCCAAAGCATTCAAGTTTCCTCTGTGTCTGCCCTTTACAGCCCGGCAGGTCAGTTGATTTGCCCGGAGGGGAAGAAGAGAGAAGGGCCTTCGGGACCTCTGCCCTGCATGGGGGCAGGCTCGGGGAGGGGGAAGCGGGCGGCTGGAAGCCTTCCCTTCCTCCTGGTCTCTGGGAAGCCGTCCCTGAGGAGGAAACTAGCAGGATGCAGACAGTGTCCACTGGGCCCCACAGGACGCCAGGCAGCCCATCAGAAGGCCCTGGCCAAGGTGGCGCAGGGGTGGCCGTCACGAGGACTCAGACACAGGTCTGTAGCCATGACAGAGGGGCCTGCAGGGACTGAGGCCACTGCAGGGAAGACGCCACCGCTAACTACAACCCTGGGGAGAGGGGGCTGATGGAAGAAAGACACGCCTCTCCCTCCTGCCACCCCGGCCAGGGGCAGGGACACCAGCGCGTGGGTGCAGGCCAGCCTCATGCAGCCGGTCTGGAGGGGCTGGCGGTGAGGCTGCTATGCTGGGGAGAGAGTCGGGGGTCAGGGGGCTTCTCTGAGGAGGTGACGTGCAAGGGCAGGGCGAGGCAGCCGGTGGGGAGTGGCCATGGCCGCTGCCCAGCCCGTGAGGTGCAGCTGTGTGTGAGCAGGGAGGGTGGCGGGGTCAGGGCAGAGAGGTGGGGGTCGAGCATGGAAGCAGGGCGCCGGGGACTCTGTGCTCACCTCTCCCAGGCAGGACGTGTCAGGTGCGCAGGTGCTTCTCCTGTGTCTCCCGTGCCAGCTCCCACCTGACAGCCCCACGCTCGGTGGTCCCGGCTCCCTGGCCCAGCCCCAGCCTGCTGGCCCCGCTCCAAGGCTGCGCTTTCTCTCTGCCCATCCAGCCAGGTGAGGCGGCCTCCTGCTGGTGTGAACTCTGGGCTGCATCACTGTCCCGCCTGATCTCAGCTCCTCCACGCTGGGAAGCAGCTCCCGACCCTGAATCCCCTCCGTCTGAAAGCCTAGATTCTTCTCCATTTCCCCGCTGGCTCCTTGGCTGGTCTGGTCCAACAGAGGACGCATCACCGAGGCCTTGTCGGCCGCGACTGCTAGTCTGCCGTTAGGAGCCCGGAGGCCCGAGGCGGGAGGGCACCACTCGGGGCACCACGGGACCACCCCCACCCCCCACCCCCGCCCCGGGCAGGGACAGTCCCGCGCTCAGCAAGCGTCCGGTGACAAGCCAGCGTGCTCATTCACTTGTTCTTCCCACAAGCATCAACTGATCGTCTTTCACAGAACCCCTGGGATTCTCTCTTCAGCTCTGGCCTGGCGTCCTGCCTGGGGAAGAGGTGGGCCCACGTTCCGGAATCACAAAGCCCACGAGACACACCTGCCGGCTGGCGGGGCCAGAGGCCCTCGCCCAGCTGATCAGGGCCCACGTCGGCTCACCCCTGAGGGCTGCCCTGCTCCGCAGCCCTGCGCCGGTGGGGCTCAGCTATCTTCGCCTTCCGGTGCCCGCTCTGCGTGGGGACCCACCGAGGCAGAAGGACCCCACGCTGGGGCAGGGCAGGCTCGGTGGATTTGCGCAAACTGAGAGCCAGACGCGCGTGCGCGTACACGTGTCTCGTAAGCAGAGGGGCCCAGCCTGTCCCGGCCTCCGGTGAGCAGGACCTCGCCCGCCACCCGCCTGACCTCCCGCCAGGCCACGCCCAGTGGCCACGCCCACCTGCGGGAGGCCCTCACCCCAGGGACAAGCTCCTGCTTCACTCGCACAAGACAGTTTGTGCAAGACGCTGTGAGAAACATCCCTGTGCTTTCTGAGGAGACATGATGTGTTGGAGCGTTTCATTTGCAGAATTCTTCAAAATTAAACTGTCAGATATTTACTAAAAACAGAACAAAACATTCACTTCCATAGAAACAAACACGCCCACTCTGCTCCGCTGGCAGAGCGGCGCCCTGTCCCAGATGCCCAGGAGCGCACACCGGGGACGCGTGTCAGCTGGAGCGACACGCCGGGCGGTGGCCAGTGAGGGCTTGACCCCGGCCCCAGGGACGGACTGCTGAGTCATGAGAGGAGATCCTGTGTGCGAAGCTCACTGTGTGGTTGTGGTGATGACGGTGGGCACTGGTCCCTCTCAAAGTAAGCGTTCCTACGAAGACCTTGGAGAGAAGTGACCGCAGCAGGCATTCCACTCTCTGTGCAAAAATAAAGACACCAGGCGTTAGTCGAGGGAGGGTAGGGCTCAATGTAGAGCCCGTGCTTCGCATGCACGAGGTCCTGGGCTCCATCCCAGTACCGCCATTAACATGAGTAAATAAATAAGTAAATAAATAAATAACCTAATTTCCTCCCCCACCCAGAAAAGCTCTGAGAAACGCCAGCTATTTCCAGCTGGGACCTGAGTGCTTCTCAAAGCTCGGTCCGTGGGTTTCCGGGGTCCACGTGGTCAAAACCATTTCCACCACAGTCATTCAGAAGTTGCTTCTCATTTTGCCCTGGTGGTGTGAAGGTGGTGACAGTGAACCCACGGGTCCCAGCGGTCGCCCCAGACGGCACACAAACCCCCAGATTCGTCATCGTCAGGCACACGTTTAAAAAAATATCAGTTTTATAGCAGGATGTCCTTAATAAGCAATACAATTTTGTTAAATCTTGACCCCCTTTTCACCTGTCTGTGGGACACAAGTGGGCTGCGCATGAAGGCGACGATTCCTGGGAGCAAGGTGCCCTTGTCGCTGGGCCACGCGTGGTTTACACGCGCGTACGATGTGCGTGGTTTCTTGACTCAGGCGTTCGGCAGGTACTTTCTCAGAATGACGGAAGCGAGCCTGTTACTTAAGGAAAACAATGGACAGTCTTTGTTGTCAATGATCAAAGTCAAGCTTTTTCAAACTGAAGCTAAAATTTTGGAAAACGTGTGTCCACCATGAGGTTGACAGCCCCCAGCTCTTCTCTGATGGATCCACGGTGGTGTCAGTGAACGTGATGCTGTCTTAGGTGTTGCGTTGTGAAATGTGTCAACATGCAGAAAAATCTGCATAACTCAGTGAACGATAGTTTCCAGATGACCCATCGTGGCATTATTAAATCATCCCCCGGGGAAAAGCCCCTCAAAGTGCGAGGCAGCCCAATGACTTCTAGTGTAACTGAGCAGAAAGAGCTCATTTTGTTGCATGTTGATGAATTTTCAGCTTCTGAAGTCCAAGAAGCTTTAAGAGGATACCGCTAGTCCAGTCTGGGCGTTGTATTAAAGCAGAATGTGCGCCACTGTCTGGAAAAGCCACCAGCTGCTCCCCCTCCACCAGCGGCACGTCTGTGTGAGGCGCGGACTGAGTGCCCTCAGTGGGCCAGCACCTCCGGTCCTCGAGGCCCCGCCCGCCCCCGAGGCCTCCTGCCGGCCGGCCCGCACCCCCGTGTTCCTGCCAGCTGCGTCAGCGTCTCAGGCTGAGGCTGCTGATCTAAAAACTAGCAGCTCTGTCAGGTCCCGTGGGAGAGACAGAGCACCTCAGAGGCACGTCTCTGCAAGACTCACAGCCTTGTGATGCCGTGCCCTCTGCCCAGTTAACTGCCTTGGGACCCTGGATGTGACACCCAGTCACCGCGCAGAGATCGCCCAGACTCTGCCCTCCAGGGTCCTCCGGGTGGGACCGAGGAGCCATGTAGGAAGAGCACTGGGCAATTAAGCACGAAATATTCACTCAATTATTTGCCTAACGAATTAACTTAGTTCATCATGAGAAATGGAATTAATTTTATTTATCGGGTACGTGCAAGTCAAAGCAAGCCAACTTTACACACGCGTAGAATACGGACAGCGACTATTTCTAGCACAATGAAGCCAATTATTTTTAAAAATAAAATCTAGTCCTGGTAAGAGCATATCTATAGCAACTGCTGGGCGGTTATTCTTGTCTATTTTTGAGCAGTGACAAGTCAGAACTATGCAAATGGCTCTAAGTGCACTTTTATAACAAAATATGGAGTCTTTTCAAGCATTAATGAACGCCGACTGTGCGCCTCTCAGAAGACGGGTCCTGGACACTTGGCCCTGGCACCGGCAAGAGGAAGGCAGCCTCGCAGACACCGAGCATGTTCGGTCCCAGGAAGCAGGTGGGGACAGCCGGGGCAGGGCCGCACGCCTGGGACGTGCTCCTTTGTCCCCACTCGTGGCTCATCACCGAATGTTGCCCTCCCCGGGCCTCCCTCCTTGCACGTGGCCACTCTCAGGGCCAGCCCACTCATCTTTCTTGCCCACATTTCTGTCTGCAGCCCCCAAGTCTGCCGCCAGAACCCCCTTTCAAAACACAAAAGCGGGGCCCCTCTCTGCCTGAGGTCCTGCCTCCTCCCTGCCCGCTGAGTAACAGGCTGCCCCCCCCAGGGGTACCCGGATCCTCTGAGAACTGGCTCCTGTCCTCGTCTGCATCGCCAGCGCCCCCGTGGGCTGGATGCTCCGGACGGCCCCTGCTCCCCGCGGCTTTCCCTGGAGGGCTCCCTCCTTGGAGGCGCTCTGCGCTCCCCACACCAGGAGGCGAGCACATCCTCTGCCCGCCCCCGCCCCCGCACAGCTCGGTTCCAGCACGGCCTCCATCACGCAGGTCTCTTCCCCATCTGCTCCGAGGCCGGCACGCCCGCTGCCATTGCCTTGCTCCTCAAGCCCACGGGCCCTGTGAGGCTGTCTCGTCGTGTGTCCTAGGAGCCACCCCTGCTGAGAAGATGTAGTTGACTGGAGCTCACAAGGCAATGAACAGACTGGATACAGTTCTCGGAACTGGGCACCACACATGCTCCCTCCTTCTTAAGAGCCGTTGCTTCAGCGCACCAGCGGCAGCAGGGCAACGCTCGCTCCGATGCGGGTTCTGCGCTCGGTGCTTCCCAGGCGCCAGTGCCCGTCCGCAGGGAGCTCTGTGAGCTTCGCACTGCTGATGTCACCCCCTCTTACAGGGGAAGCTGGGTCCCAGAGAACAGCCAGTCGGCCTAAGGCTACGCAGGTAATGGGTGGTGGGTGTGGGGCTTCAGCCGGAGTCTTTCTAACCCCTGAGCCTGCGCTCTGTTTGTTTTTTTAATTCTGTCGTCTGTCGAAGTGTGGTTGGTTTACTGCATTATTCTCAGGTGCACAGCAAAGCGGTTCAGTTCTACGTATACATATGTGTGTATGTTTTCAGATTCTTTTCCATTACAGCTGATTACAAGAAGCTGAATGTAGCTCCCTGTGCTGTCCGTCTGTTATTCATCTATTTCCTATACAGTCATGTGTATCTGTTAATCTCAGACTCCTAATTTACCCCTCCCCCTCCCCCCACTGGTAACCACGGCTTGTTTTCTATGCCTGCGAGTCTATTTCTGGTTTGTAAATAAAATCTGTGTATGTTTTTTGGATTCCACACGTAAGTGACATCAGTATTTGTCCTTCCCTCTCTGACTTACTTCACTTAATATGGTAATTTCTAGGTCCATTCATGTTGCTGCAGAGGCATTGTTGCATTCTGTTTTGGGCAGGGAGCATACCACTGTGTATATGGGCCACGTCTTCTTTGTCCGGCCATCTGTGGGCGGACATTTAGGAGGTTTCCGAGTCTTGGCTCCTGTAAACAGTGCTGCTGTGAACACTGAGGGGCGCGTGTCTTTTCAAATTAAAGTTTCCTCCAGAAATATGCCCAGGAGTGGGATTGCTGGATCATATGGTAAGTCAGTTTTTCTTTTTTTAAAGGAGACTCCACACTGTCCTCCACAGTGGCTGCACCAATTCATCCCCGCCCGCAGTGCAGGAGGCTCCCTTCCCTCCACAGCCTCTCCAGCGTTTGTCATTTGTGGACTTTTGTACGATGGCCATTCTGACTGGTGTGAGGCGATGCCTCACAGTAGTTTTGATCTGCATCTCTCTAGTCGTTAGCAATGTTGAGCATCGTCTCCTGTGCCTGCGATAAGCCTGCACTCCCAGCCACTGTGGGTATCTGAGATATGTCTGCTTGTCTGTGTCTCCAGTTGGGGTGTTTGGCCCCTTGAGGGCAGGACTGGGCCTCAGCTGTCTGGGTGCTGGGGGGCTGTTGCAGCCACTCACATCCCAGATGCTCAGGGAAAGGCATGTGGCGCAGAGCTGATGGCATCTCAGCCCCAGAATTGCCTCTGCCAGTTCAGACTGGGCCCGCACAGCCTGGAGTGGGTGGCGCCAGCCTCACAGGGAAAGCTTGGCGCAAGCCAGTATCTCTGAGCCTGGGTCTGGCCTCACGGTGTGGCCAGTCTTCTGCCTCCACTGACGGCCTCGCAGTCCAGTTCTCACACAGCGACTGGGTCCCTGTGTCCTACAAGCCCCCTCCTGGGGCCGCGAGCAGTCCCTTCCTCTCTGAGCCTGAGGGCCTCCTCAGGGATGCTGTCCTCTGCGCCCTTCATGGAAGTGAATTCCTTGCTGGTTAGCACCTAATTCATCGTAAGTTTGGGAGCGGGGGATGGGGAGAGGGACTGGGAAGTATAATCGTAAGAACAACCAATAAAAATAAGAATTAATTAAAATTCCCAATTGCTTACTCTTTTTACTAGTAATGCTTTTTCTCCTCGTCAGTTTGTAAATGTGTCATTATCTCTCTTTTCTCTGTGAGCAAGACGAGGACCGGAGGCCACTCTCACTGTCCTCTGGGCTCTCCTGCACCAGCCCCTCCCCGGCACCACGCGAGCGTCAGCTACGGGCTTGTCTGTAGTTAATCACAGGCACGCATTTTGGTTTGTTTTGTTGTAATCCTTGCTTCAAGTAAGCGATCTAGCTGCTCACACGCCCCACGCTTCTAGGGTTCGCGTCTTGTCCGGCCACAGGGCTGCTCTGAAATGCCTCTGGAAGAGCCCACGTGGAGCAGCGTTTCTGAGGCCTCCGTGTGCGTCTGACAAGACCCTTGTGTTGCCCACGTGTGAGTGACAGTTCGGCTGGGTATAAAATCACGAGTGTGAAGACCGTGGTCCTTCAACATGGAAACTGTCACTCTACCCACTGCCCACATCCAGTCGTGTCGTTGATAAATACGTCCGTCTGATTGATGTTCCTTTAAACATTACCGGGATTTTTTCTTCTTTTTGAAAATTTGATAACTTCATCCTCTTATTGTTCATAAATTTCCACACAGTGGCTTGAGCTGTGACTGGCTCTCTCCCACCCCCTGTTGAGATTGTCCATGCTCCTCAGATCTGGGACATTCTTGGTCAACATTCCTTCAGATATTGTCTCCCTATCCTTGCTGTTTCCTCGCCTCCAGATCCTAGCGTCTGGAAGGACAATTCTTCAGTCTTTATATTTCTTGGCTTCTTGCTATTAAAAGTCTTTTTCATACCTTCATTCTTTTTCACAGAGAACTCTTAAGACTGATCTTTTTACTTACTAATCTCAAGCTAAGTTCATTTTGACATCTAACTACTGATATTTTAAAAAGAAAGAGAGAGAGAGAGAAAGAGAGACAGATAGAACAAAACCAACTCCCCCTTGGGTTTTCCTGTGTAATTTCTTGTTTTTGATTCCTCTTCCCAATACCTCCCCCTCCTCATTTCTTAGAAGAGACTGAACAGAGTTTTCAAAACTTCTTGCTCTGCTGCAATGGAATAAATGGAATTCTTATTCCATTTACTCCGCTTCATCTGACGTGAGCCTCCCATCTTGTTGTCTCTCTCTTTACAGCAGTTTATTCCTAAGATGTCTCATTACCTTTCCTAGGAGGCTATACTTTCCTGAGATGCTCTGTTTGTTGGCTGGAAGTGGGTATCTGAGGGGAGGAGATGAAGCTGATGTAAGATCTTGGTCTCTTTCTGAAGTGTGTGTGGGGTGGAAGGAGGGGCAGCTCGTGGTGAAGAGCAGCTGGTGCTACCTACCGTGTCTCCTCCTTGCACTAGTCTTATTCAAGAACTGCCTCCCTGTTGTGATTACCTAACACTCGAGCAGAAAGAAAGGAACGCTGGGTGGTTGGAAGGTCTGGAAGAACCTGTTTTGAACTGTTCGTCTTCCCAGCGAGAACCCGCTGAGTCCTGAATTTACCCACCACCCCACTAGTCCTGGAGTGGTTTCTTGTCTCTCACACAGACTGAATGGGGCTTCACGAAGCTTCGTGAACCAATGGATTGAAATCTGACATTAGTCTTGGAAAACCTCAGCCATGCACTCTTCAAATATCACTTCTGTCTTGTCCTCTCCCCGTCCTCTCCCTCCTCCTGAGACTCCAGGCATTTAAGTCAGTTGGTCCGTTTGGCTTGGATGCCGGTCTGTCCCTCCCAAGCTTTCCTTCAGCCCACAGCCTCCTGCTGTGCCCTGTCTGCTGTTACATTCATTCAATGCGTTTTTAATTTCAGATACTGTATTTTTCACTTACAATGTCTTGCTGATTTTTTATACCAATTCTAATTCTTCTCTGCAGAATTGTGCTTCCCTGACTCCATTGTTCCTCCCACTTTATTAATTCACATTCTACTCTAGGAAAGAGCTTTTCCTGCCCCCTCTTATTCATTTATTCCTTTATTTTTGTATCAGCTTGATCTCATGGATACTTGCATTATTCTGTGGGTTATAATCTGTTACGACTGTTGACCATCAAGGGATGTTTAAGTACCTCCTGTGTGACACCTGTGTAGGGCCGCATGGGCCTCAGAGATTGTAGGACGAATGGATGGGCTGGTCTGGGGGCGAGTTCTCAGTTATTTTGACAAAATCCTAGTGGATCAGAATTAGGCCTGGTGCCTCCCCCTGGGCTTAATCCGCTTTTCCAGCATGAACCTCCTTCAGCCCCTCCAGGACCCTTGCTCCCGCCAGCCTGGAGGATGAGCCAGGCTAGGTTGGACGTGGGCTTTCCCGCCGCCACTCTGTGTTCAGCCCAAATGATCCCCCCAGACCTGCTGCAAGACCCCTTCTTGACCATCTCCAAGACCCCTCGGCAGGAGCGACCCTCTGTGCTGTGAGTGACCCACCATTACAGCTGTAGCCTTCTACCTGCCTGCTCCCACGCTCCCGGCACTGAGAAAGCAAACAGGCTGCTTGGAAAAGCACTTGGCAGCACATAACAAGGCTCGTAAAATTGTTTGTTCCGTTTGACCTCGTGGTGACATTTCTGGGAAATCGTTCTGCCAGAAAATTCCAAAAATGAACAAAAGCCGATGCATGAAGAGGTTTATTGCAGAATTATACAACTCAACCAGCACAGGGGACGCCTGTCAGTCGGGGAATGGTAGGTAATTTATGGTACATGGAAAGGATTGGATATTATATTGCCTCTCATATGATTCTCAAGATTCTGAAGAAGCAAGAAAAATATTTGCTACATTAAATAGGAAAATGCAGAGTACAAAGCCTTGCCTACATCTTGAGTGGAGTCACAGATGCTAACATCCACATGGTCCACAGTAACACGGGTGAAAGACCTTCCTTTCCTGAAGGGCTGAAGTCAGGACGCCCTTTGAGGAGTTCTTTGGATGCACAGGTGGACACTCCAGCCTTCATCCAACACAGCCTTGACTCAGTGAAGGTGTGA